TTCCATTGTCTAATATCTCTCTTCATTAGTTTAAATTTTTGTACCATCCTATATCTAGCATATCCTTCAACCTCGTATGACCTCCATTTATTTTCTACCAATAGGTGAAACTCCTCATTTTCAACACAGTGATTGAACAATTTAAATGGTTTTGGTCCCCAATCCTGTATATCAATTCCTAGACGGATAGGAATATGGTCTGATATAGCACATTCCAGGCTCCATTGATTGATAAATGAGAAGAGCGTTAGCCAGTCTTGAGTGATGAGGAACCTGTCCAATTTGTTCATTGTGGATCTTGCCCGTCTCCTATACCACGTATATTTTCTGCCAGCTAGGGGGAGATCAATTAGCTCTGCATCTTGTATGAAGTTTGCAAAATCCGTTGACGACCTAGCAATGTCTGTGATCCTAGTTCGTTCATCCTCATTTAGCACTGCATTGAAGTCACCTGCGAAGCACCACATTTCTGCATTACTAGCTTTCAAATCTACTAATTGTTCTAGGAATAATTTCCTTTCATATACATCACTGGGGCATACACATTGCACAAATTAACAGTACCAGTTCTGTTTGTGAAACTGCCCCTAATCCATATATACCTCTCCCTAATAGTAGAGGATAATAGTGTGAAATCCTCCTCTGCCCACATACATAGTAGACCCTCCGTAGCACCATGTGGTTCACTCTTAGCAAACTTTATTCCTTTCCTTCCCCATAACTATCTAATGGTTCTACCAGTCACCTTATGGGTCTTAGTTTCTTGTATAAAAATCATACTTGGCTTTTCTTTTGTCATGAGCTTCCTAAAAGCCCTCCTTTTTTTTTTTTTTTTCACATCTTCCAATTCCTCTAAAATTAATCAAAATAATCTTCATTCTGAGTTATATAAAACCCCTTGATTCTACTCAAAATCACATGTTCAATAGGAGTTTAGCAGATACCTTCTTATTCCTCCTCTGTTGCCTCCATCTCCATCAGCTTTTCCAGAACCTCTTCTTCATCTTCTCTAACCGATAGTCGCAACAATTTCCCCACTTTCAATGTTGTTTCTGCTTCTTTTCTAAGTACTCTATTCCTGCTCCTTATGTCTTCGTCTAATTTATCGGCCTCCTCCCAGGGCTGAGACCTCAAAGCTTTCTTCTTCTTGGCTTTAGCTTGCTTATGGTCCCCTTTTCCTTTTGCTATCCTCTTATTTCCTTTCCCTGTTCTTCGTTGTTTTTGTATCATCTCTTCTAGAATCAATGTTTTTCTTTCTTTTCCAACTTGTGTTTTTTTTTTCTCCTTTCTGACTTTGGGAGTCATCTCTCCCTTCAACCGATGGCACATTTTGATTCTTTTCATTTTGTGGTCCCCTTATATCTTCCCCACGTTCAATACTTCTCTAATGTGTCCTGGGCCCATTGGATTTTTATAAGACCTTATCATATCTAAAGATGTAAACAATATATTAATATCCGTAAACTATTTAGATTCGATTCGAATAAAATTTTGAATTCGAATTGATTATTATCAAATCGAGTTTAAACTCGAATAATTTAATTTATAGATAAAATCGAATTCAAGTATTTTTACATCTCACTCGAGTAATTCACGAACTTAATCGAATTTGTATATTTAAATATATTTTTATTATTTTAATTAATAAAATATCTCGAACATAAGCTCGAGTTCGAGCATAAATAATTAAGTTTTTATTAAATATAAGAATCGAACTTATTTTTATATGTTAATCGAGCCTAATCGAGTAAGCTTGAATAACTCAATTTTTATCTCAAATCGAGTTCGAGTTAAAAAAATAAAATTCAATCGAATTCTTCAATCGAGTTCGAACAGAGTTTCGAACATCAAATTTTGAATTGAACTCGAACTCAAATTTAATGCTATATCGACTCAAACTCGATCGATTACATCCTAGTCATGTCTTATATAGATTAGGCTTTGTCCCATTTCCACTGTCAACTCCTTGACAGCCCAAGTTTCTTCTATAGCCCAAATGTCATCGGCTCATACTTGTCTTTCTGTGTTATCAATTGTGTTTGTATTCTTGTTTTCCAGAATTAAATCCACCTCATTTTGAGTTTGCTTCCAATTTGAAAATTACGGCTGACATGAAATTCCTCCAGCTGTATATCCTCTTTCCAAAATCACCCAACTGTCTCGTGCAACACTGTTTTCCATACCCGCCTTTTCGCTTTCTCCCTCCTCATCGTTGCTGCATTGTTGGGGATCCTTTTCTGAACTTGAGCTTGAGGAAGCTGATGGTGTTGAAGTACTTTTGTTAATTTGTTTCACCCTTGTGTTCCAAAAGAATCCTGACCCATCTTCTAATGTTACTTTAAGATGATATGGTTTCCTGTTTATCACTAACTGGATAGAACTTGGAGGTTGAAAATCTATACTGATGTGAGCTAACACTCTTGCCACATCCACTCTCCTTTTCCTCATTGTACTATCATCGATAGAAATGAAAGATCCTCATTGGTTTCCAATTCTGCTGAATAGGTCGTAATTCCATGAATGCAGTGGAATGTGTTCAATCCTAATTCAAACAAATCTGTCCCTCGACGTTATCTCTGCATTCCATGGCTTGGTCTAGAAAAACCACTCACTCAGCCACACCTTTCCATCTTCAAGCATCCCCATCATTTCTTCCTTTGTCTCAATCTGTAATAACACCATACTGCCTCTCATGAAAGTTACAGAGAAGTGCATGACCCCTTGGCTGAAGATTTGTTATTGAAGGAAATGTATTGGCTGTGGGTTTTTAACCTTTGCCACCGCGCACCTTACAAGCTATTTCTTTTCTAGGTTTTCCATTTTCATTCAGAAAACCACTGTATTTTTTGTTCTTGTCTCTACATCAGTACCTTCTTTGTCCTTATCTTCAAGTCTCCCTTCTCTCTCTTTGATGCTTTCTGTCTCATTGTTTCTGCGGATGTTGCTTTGACTATTTCAGCGTAAGGAGGCTTATTCTTCCCCGAGCTGGACTGATTCGGAGCAGCACTTTTCCATCTGCCATGTTTGCTTGCTACTTTGGTGCCTGCATTGTTTCTTGCTCCCCTTTCGTACTTAGCTAGATTTACTATCAGTCTCCATCCATGCCATATGGTGCCATTTAGTGCCCTGATTACTGCCAACACTTCTCTCAGATTTTTGAACCTGAAAAAACCGAACTTGCTATGCCTTGTCTGCTTTCTGTGTAAGGGAATGTAGTAATCTAACACCCTTTCATACTGCAGTATCAGTTCCCTCAGTTCTCCTTCTCTGCCAATAGGATGAATGTTATCCACGAAGATAGATACTAGCTTTCTCTTCCATCCATCATCTTCGTATCTGAATCTCCTGCTATCCCAGTGTCTTGACTGTTGTTGTTCCCTTGCTATTATGTTCCACTCTCTCTCCGTAGCTCTCTCTCTCTCATTCTTTCTTTGATTAGTTAGATAAGGGAATCGTCTTAATCCCATTTTCTATATTCTATATATATATATATATATATATATATATATATATATATCTGGAAAGAGAGAGAGAATCAACTTATATAGAATAATTTTTTTTATTTTACATATATTTTTAATCATTAATTTTAATAGATATAAGGGATATGATTAAACTATTTTTTTTAATATATTTTTACTTATCTTTCTTATTATGTGGATTTATTAAAATCAAATGTTAAAAAAAATGTAAAATTAAAAAAAATGTTCTCTCTCCTTATACATACATACATATATATATATATATATATTTGCAAAAGCCTTTTCGGAAATTCAATTTTTTTTTTTTGCATATTAAAGTGTTTCCGTAAGCTTCAAATGAGGAATATATATATATATATATATATATATATATATATATAATAGTTTTTTAAAAATTTAGTTTTTTTTTCAAAAACAATTTACTGATGCTTTTATAGGAATAAAAATAAAAAATAAAAAACAAACAAAATTTTAAGAAAACATATAAAAGAAACAAAAAATAAAAATAAAATCATATACTCTAATAAAAAATAGAAAAGATAAACTAATCTCGTATTTAACTATTGCAATACTATAAAGCCTAAAAAAATAAAAATGAAATTCATTTCACTGCCATATGCATAAATAAAATGAGAAAGATCAACAGTCACAAATAAATCATTAAATGATCATAAAGTGAATATGACAATTTAATTAATTTATAATAACTTTTTTTATTTTTCATCTTCCTATCATTTTCATTAAATTAAGCAATTAGTAAAATATAAAAAAAAAATTCAAATGAAGTTGATTTATACTCCTTATAATTTCAAAGATTTATTTGTATATCATTAATTGCTAAAATATGAAAAAGATTGAATTGATATAATAACATTTTCTAACTTTCATGTGCCTATCATTTCACTTAAATTCAATGATTTGTAAAATATAAACAATTTTTAATTAAAATGTTTCTTTATTTTCTCACAAAATATTTTTCATCAAATACTTTTCTATTATTTTTGAATCAAACTAAAAAAATATAATTATTAAATAGAATCCTAATTTATTACCCATTCAAAGCATAGTTAAAATAATAACAACAAAAAAAAGTCTGAATTTGAGAATGTTGAACGCAGGGCAAAGTTCTGCACGTGTAAATGATAATGCTAGTAATAGAAATAAAGTACTTTATTATATGGGGTCAACGCGCTCCTATAAGAATATTTGTGTAGTCAACACGAACAATTTGTAGTAGCAGTAGTATATACTAGACCAAATCAAGCCGTCGTTGGAGATTTGTTTTTTAGCTTTAAGACAAAACTTTTCATTTATTTAAAAAAAAAAATTATATGCACTAAAATTTAAGCAGTCTTTGGATTTGCGGCAGATGGTTTGGTATTTGACGGAGTCTCATTTCCCCGTAAGACCAGCCCAAGTTCCTTGACCAATGTTTGACAGGACTTTTGCGACATGTCTAATAAATGTAGGAACAAAAAGAGCTTTTGAGTTTGTCTATAAATTGGGCATTAACGGCTTTCCAACTGTATATCGATAATTGAGGTTTAACATGGCAACTTCAATTATCATCACCAGTTCTCTTCTTACTTTTTTTGCAATTCTGGGTCTTCTTGCAACTGCTGCTGTGGCAAGACTATTACCGCCAGGTATTACAACTATGCTAAGCCATGTATGTGTTAGAATTTAGAATTTAATTCAATTAATTTATAAAGTAATCTCTAAAAATTATCTTATTCAAAAAGTATGATTTAAATTTCAATATTTATAACGTATTTTTTTATTTTTAAATTGTGGTTTTTAATATTAAAAATATACAGGTGTTAATCCTAATTTTCAAGATTCATGGAACTTGCTCCGAGTATTTGAAGTTCATCATTTAATATAATCATTAATACGAGGAATACCATATTTTTTGTTTACTTTATCTGAGACTAGCTCCCTTTTTTTTTTTTTTTTTGATTTCTGCAGAAAATTCACCCAACAAGTTCATGGTGATCATAATGGTCAATAATGTTGGGAGAAGTAGCTCAATAGAAACCAGGGAAATAACAGGGAATACTGACTGCGACCACATCGCACAATCTACAATTGAAGGAAAGGTCACTCCTTCGCCGCCATCTCCAAAGTCATCACCACCAACTCAACAAGTAACGACCAATTATCCATCTCCAAAGCCAGAAACACCAATTCCCCGGCTGGAGTATTTTTCTTCTTGTGCAGAGGGGAGTCCATGCAATAGTTTAATTACTATGCTTACTAATTTTGGAAAGATTACTAAATCACCACCTTCTCCAAATCCAGCACCATCAAAACATCACGGAACAATTGAACAACCTATAAAACAAAGTCCAGAGTTTCAGTTCAAATCCATATTTCCTAATTTCGGAAAGACCCCAAAATCACCACCTTCTCCAGATCCAGCGCCATCAAAACATCAAGGAACGATCGAGCAGCCGATACAACAAAGGTCATCACCTCCAGATTTTCAGTTTAAATCCATGTCTACTCATTTTGGGAAGACCCCAAAATCACCACCATCTCCTAACCCAGCACCATCAAAACATCAAGGAATAATTGAACATCCAACACAACAAAAATCACCTCCAGATTTTCAAATTGCTTCATTTTGAGCAGTTATTGTAATCCTTATTAGGTTTTTTATAAGCAGATGATAACATGACATGATTAATTAGTTTGCTGTATGTAAATCAAGATGTTTGTGACAATAATGTTCTACGTAGGATTGGACTAATGCAATCAATAAAAGAAGAAGAAATGACAAAATTTAGGTAAAGCTTTAATAAGGAAGCTTTAATAATTTTTTGAACTTTTGAGAATGTTATCCATTCAATGTCTAAACAAAGAGAACCAAAATTGCACTTTAAACACTTTAAAAATCTCTTAAACGCACATGAATTAGAAAATCAAAACGATGAAACATGCATGATCATTTGATTCTTGAGAGATTAAATATAGAAGTGTCCTGAAATGAACGATTATGGAAGTACTTATAATGGAAAAGGGTCAAGAAAAGCCCTCAAAACTTGATAATCATTTAAGCTTTTGATATTTTATTTTAATCAATCAAGTCTTAAATTTTCTATTTCAAATCAATTGAATCTTCAAACATCAATTTTTATCCAATTATACCTTTAAACACTTATTTTCACCCCAATTGATCCCCGGATTTAAAAAAAAAAATAAATAAATGTTGACACCTGGGATTTTTTTAAGTATAAAATTTTTGCTTATTGTATAAATCTTCAATTTTTTCTATATTTTCTCTTAATATCATGTCAAATTTATATTATATTTTGTAAATATCTATCAATATCCTAACATTAATCATGAATTTTCAATATTAATTTGAAAATATATATATATTTAAATATCTTTAGCAATTGTTATTATAATAAAAAAATAAACGATCAAGTTATACCAAATGTCCTTGCCAAAATTTGAAATTTATTCCTAATAGTGTAATTCATACAAATTATGCCGTATCAATAAAGTCAATGCTTGCATCATCAAATCAATTGTTACGTTAGTATTTTTAATAGAAAAAATTTGATGAAATTAGTTATTGGAGTAAGATTATTAAATCAAAATAATATAAGAATTAATTTGTATGAATTACATTATAGAGACTAAATTCTAAATTTTGCAAAGTACAAGAGTCTCTAACATAATTGGATTGAAAATCAACTTGTTAATATACATATTGTTAAAAAATTAATTTCCTAAATTTATCAATATAAATGGTGACAAATTAATTTTTAACCATTATAATTTTTTTAAATAGTAACAATTTCAATTATCATAGCGATAAATTTGTTATTGTGATAGCATATAGTCATCATTAATATGTTATTATGTTTAATGATGACGAAATTTTCAGAACAAAATGTAAAGTATGATGTGATAAATAATTTTGCTATCATAAAAATATTCAATATAGTAGTGACCACTTTATATATTATTTCTCATAAATAATCACTGCTGCCAATTTGTATATTTAATCCTTAACAATTTTATATATAATGACAAAAATTTTTGTGTCACAAAAACATACTTATAATGATGATTTAATTGTGAAAAAAAAAATTAAGCCGTCATAATTACTATTATAATAGTGATCAAATAACAATAAGTCACAATTATTTATTGCAATTGTGTTATAGGAAAGTTTTGTCACAAGAAATCTAATATTTATGATGAAATATCTATGGTCACAAAAAATTTGTCAATAAAAATCTTAACTATTGTATTGATAGTTAATCAATTTTTGTTTAACAAAGGTTCAATTAATGAAAAAAGAAGTTTGAAAGCTTAAATAATTACAATAAAATAAAAGGGCTTGGATAATTATTAAATTTTGTTCAATGGTTCTTTTACCCGTTCACCTATTTGGAAGCTCCTAACATTATTTGAAATATCTCTTCACAAACGTATTAACTTGAATGAAGAATCAACACTTTTAAAGTGATGCAACATGTCCCACGAATATATTTTTTGAATTTCAACTTTCAAACATTATTTTTCTACACTAATACATGCTACATTAATTCTAAACTTTGAATTTTATAAAAATGCTTAAAACAGTTAGATAAACATACATTATTGATAATGTATACAACAAATAGTTGTAGGCTTCACCTGCGCGAGTTTTCTCGGTTTCCTTAATTAGTTTTGTTCAATTAATGTATCATAGCTTATTTTGGATATAAAAAATAGAAATTAGGTCAAAAATTAAATAATTCTCAAGATTTAGTATAACATAAATATTATATTGGATAGAAGAAATCGAAGCACAAAAATCGATAAATAACTAAACTATAAATGATACTTGAATATGAACTTAATTCAAATGACTCATCAACATTTTTTAGAAGGTGAAGGGAAGATCGGGGTTCAATCTCCAGTATTTTCAAATTTTCGTTTTTCTATTGCTTCATGCATATAGAAAATTATTTTTTTCTTGCAAATTATCGCTGTCTTAATATTTAGCAGTAGGTGAAAGTTGACACCTTTTTGTGGGATTGGGATACCTTTTTCAAGCTTATTAAAAATGTAAAAGTTTCACAACTTTTAACCATATATGGGTGTGAATCCCGTTGCCCAGCCTCTTTATGCTAAGTTATTCATTTAAGGGCACATTTGGTACATAAGATTAGTTGAAGGATAGGCTACTAATCATCCTATCACATGTTTGTTTACACTTAAATAAAAGGATTAGATTATTGAAAGGATTAGTCATCCTATACCAATAGGATAACTCTATCCTTTGAAAAAGTAGAGGATTATTTTTAATTCATAAGATTAGATAATTTATTAGAATTTTTAAATAATAAATTTTCTATTTTACCATTAAACTTAAAAGATAAAACCTAAATTTTAAATTATCAAAGATTTGAAAATATTCCTTCACTCAAAAAACCCCTTTATTCTCCATGGAAAAAGCCATTTATTTCACAAACTTTTCAACCCCAGAGCAATTCTTGTCATCTCTCTCCATCAAATTTTCTTTTTGATTTCTCACTTTCAAATGGAGTTTTTTCAATTTTCTTTCAGAGTTCTCGATAATCAAGAAAACCTTTCTCTTGATTCATATGTTTTCATTCTATTATTATTTAAATATGTCGATTATCTAATTGATTTTCAATTTCTTAGTTTGTGTTTTGGGTATTCAAGTTATAACCATGTGTTAATGTCCAAATTATCTCTTTTGTAGATTTTGCACCAAAATTGATTTTCAAATAGATATTTTACTGTTTCTCTTACTTTGATTCAATTTTTATTTTTTGGAATTAATATTTCTCAATGTTTATCCAATTTGTGCTTAGAAGTTTGTTCCTTGGATCTAACTTCCACACTATTGGTTTCTTTTGATTACTGCTCAGCCTTTTGATTTGCTTTGCTTTTGCACTACTGGTTTCTCATTGTAATACCTCCAATTTCAGATTGAAAGAATATGTGGATATAGTATGATATATAAGTTAAGACTTAATCCCAAACTTGTGGGGCACTTTTTGTGGGTCGTGAGACCTTTATGTCAAAGTGGACAACACCTCGCAAGTTGGGTGCGATCTCCACAACTGGTATAAGAGTGGTCACTAATTGATGAAAACTAAGTGCTATATTGTAGGAGTTAGTAAGTGCTACATGGTGAGGTCATGGGAGTCACTAAGTGCTGCATAATGGAGAGCCATCTCTAGAATCCCAATGTTTTGTGTGATCTTGGTCCTGTGGTTATACTCATCTTGACAAGGATGTCAAGCTTCAAAGGTGATGAGATTGAAATGCCCTAAATTCTACATTAGAAGAATGTGTGGATATGGTATGATATATAAGTTAAGACTTAATTCCAAACTTGTTAGGAGCTTTTTGTAAGACAAAACTATGAGATCTTTGGGTCAAAACAAACAATACCTCATAAGTTAAGTGTAGGTCTTCACACTTATAGTGTTGAATAATATCCATTCAAAATCTGCATAGGATTCTAACCTAAGTCCCCCAATCTTTTATGTCTTTTTTTTTTTTTTTGCTTGAGTTATCACCAAAGCATTACAAAGCACCTTCCCATAGCAAATGGAAATCATTATAATTGTTTCTTTGTAACTTTGTAGTAGTATATTTAATAGTCTTGTTTGAGCCCTTGGATATAACTTGTAAATTGTAATCAAATATGACAGATTTAATGAGTAGAAGTATTTGTTCCTTAATTTTGATTTTCTTGTGCATTATTTTATTTCTAATTGCTTTAATTGTTGTATGCCTTGTTCTTCTTTTTCACTCATTTTACTTCTATGCCTGGCTTTAACTGTTTGATTTTGATTGGAACAGTAGTTTGTAATGAAAATTTTACAAGTTTCCAACATAATACAAAATACCTATAAGGGTGGGTCTCATTTGTTTTTAGTGAGCTTTCTTGTATGTGTGTAAAAACTTCGATAGTCTACAAACATTTTTATTATGTCTGGTGTTTATATTAGGCTAATCTAGTCTATCAAGATTGGCATCACATGAGGGTGGGTCTTGTTTGTTTTTGGTGAGCTTTCTTGAATACATGCAAAAACTTCCATGGTATACACCTCCTTAATTTACCAAACTCCTCATTTCATTTTCAAGTAATGGACTAATTAAACAGGGTTAGGAAATAAGAAAGACTATCATTCTCTAAACAATAGTTGGATTTAAAATTTACCCAAATTATTATATATTCTAGACTAGTGGGTGGTATGTATATATATAGCACTTGTTGATTACATTAGATGACTTAATAATTAATTAATGCCTGGTGATGTATATTTATGATCAATTGATCATGACCTTAACTAATTAATTAATTAATTAATAGTGCCTTGATCCAACCTAACCTAGGGAACAGAACATGCATAGGTACCAAAGCCATGTGCACCTTACGTCCCAAGTTGTAGAGGCCCATGACATGCCATGAATTTTATTTTTTTTTTTAGTAAAATATAAAACCAAAGCCTACAACAAAATTAAGCACTATATATACAATTAACAGTTACCATGTATTAAAAGAAAAAAAAAACATAAAAATTAAACAAGAATCCAATGCACCATTAGTTTAGCCTTAAACACATGGATTTCAACCTTTTCCCTTAGCTTTGGTTCTTATACCAATCTATCGTTGGGATATTTCTTTCTTTTTTTTTTTCTTTATGTGCTTTTATTATTAAAATTACTTTTATGTGCTTTTCTTCTATTGTTATACAATTGTAATTTAGTCTTTACATATGTTATTGGTGTTTATTTGTTCAAAATATCTAAGTTATCAAATTAGCGCAAAAGTGATACCATATAACACTTGTCAAAATCTCAAATGAAAAGTGAACACTATTGTGGTTAGAAATTGACATTCTAATCAATGATGTCAATTTTTGTTACCTATTGAATTTAATCAATGATGTTTCTATTTTTTTTCTCATGTATTGCTTTTCTTTTCTCTTTCACCTCTCATCTTAGTTTTTC